AACTGTCTGTGCAGGGACATGGAGATGAAGGCATGTGTAAATGCTCAATTAATAGAATCATAGAGTCACAGAATCTTAAAGGTTGGGAAATACCACCAAGATCATGAGTCCAACATTTGACCAAACACCACCACGCCAACTAAACTGTAGCAATAATTGCCAGGTCCATTTGTTTCTTCAACACTTCCAGGGATGGTGACTCCACCACCTCCCTGGGCTGCCTCTTCCAATGTTTAAAAAACCCTTTCAGTGAAAAGATTCTTACAGATGTCCAACCTGAACCTCCCTGGTGGAGCTTGAGTCTATACCCTCTTGTCCTGACAATTCTTGAAAATTTTCATCATTGAAAACTGGAGCGCTGAAGTTCAGAGAAGAGTCCTGCATGTGAGATTCTGTTTCCTTCTACTGCACTGATGTCAGAAAGGGTAAGTAGTAAAGGGAAGGGCAAAAGTGGGAAGGCTTTGAGTCACCTGGAACTGATCTTCCCTATTGTACTCAATGTTTTAAAACCTGATTTTGCTAACCTGGTTTCAAACCAGAGCGAAGGAGGATGGGAACTGGCAGTACCTGAGAGTGGCTGCTGTAGCAGTGCCTATCTCAGCACAGCTGTGTTGGCCTGAGGACACCCAGAGGAACTGTCAGTAAGCAGGGCCTGGAGTAAAGCTAAAAAGGAGGATTCAGACTGTCTCTTTTTGTTATTCATGGCAGAGCAGCAACTCTTTTATGGAAATTTATAAAGCACTTATTGGTCCTCTCTCCACACCCCCAACAAAAATGTGCTGGAAAAGTTGCTGTGCAATTGCTGTCTAAACCCCATGAAAATTCACCTGAATAGATAAAGATGTCTCAATCTCCTTCTTCAGATCTTGGGCGCCTTCCAGCCATCCAAAGAAATCTCCCTTGTGCAGTCTTCTCTTTATATTCCCAGGTCACAATTCTGTAGGGAAATGAGAATCATTCCTACTTCTTGGAGAAAGCATAGAACAAAAGATCATTGTCTGATGCCTTAGTATCATTCATATTTTCCTCACTCATGGCAAAAATTAAGATTATCTTTCCCAGAGGCTGGTGATATTCACTGACTGTGAAGGACTATTTTTATTTGGTGGTTGGTAAAGTTTCTCAGAAAAAAAAACCCACAAAGACCTTCAAAGAGCATCCTTTTTCTTTTAATCTAACAGAAAGCCTACTGACAATGAATTTGTAATATTTATTTAGGTCATAAAAGATATCTTGAAAGATATATTGCAAAACAGGAAGCCTTTGTTCTTAAACTGGTCAGATAAAGGCCAACTGCTATTGTGTGAAAATTTGTATTGCTGCAGTTATCTGATTAGACAAAATCTACTTACTGAAAAAAAATAAAGCTTCAAGCTTTTGACTGGGCTTTAGGATATCACAATATATGCATTTGTGCTCATAAAAAGTTGTGCAGTGTAAACACACTTTATGTCATGGGGCCCCTCTAGCCAATTAAAATCTAAAATAGAAACTATTTAATTCATCAGATGATGGATGAATGTGCCCCATCCCACCCCTTCAGTTTCTCCCTTAAGTTGCCAGGATGCTTAAATCAAGTATAGCATATTTCCTATTGAAATGAGGAAGCATCTTACAAGGTAATTGAGCACTGTGACAGCTCCTATCATTGATGGAGAAAAGCATAAGTTAGTAAGGCATTTAATGGCCTGGCAGAGCAGAAGGACCATAAAAGCCAGTACTGGTTTGGGTGTAATGATCTACTTCCTGTTTGTATTTATTTGTTTGTTTTGATGTCCCATCAGATTATATGATGAGATGCAAACACACAAACAGATGTGATTCCACTAATTATAGTGTAACAGCTCTTTACAGGGGAGCAGTCCCCAGAAGGATAGGAAAATAAACTTGAAAACAGAGACTAAAACATGCTCTGGGCTATTCTGTGGGGGGCAGGAATAAATTGGATATGCAGAGAGAGAGTCCTAGCCCCAGACCTCAGCTTTTGGCCCTAGCTTAGCTGTTTTTAGCCTCTAGCACAGTTTTGAGTGTGTCCCTGGTGAGCAGGGCCAGCCTGCTCATTTCCCTGCCCAGCAGCCAGTTGGGCTGTTTGTCCCAGAATGGCCCCAGCACTGAGCACTGGTCCATGAGCCAGCCCCAGGCAGCCCAGCTCTGCCCTGTGTGCCACAGGACAGCATGAAGGCAGAAAGAGCCTCAGCTGGGCCTCAAAGAGGACCAACAACCTGTCTTCCAGCCCCTAAGGAAATAGGGCTTCAGTGAGGACAGCAAAGATTCATTTGGATGTTTGGGGGTTTTTCGTTTGGTGGGGTTTTTTGTTTTTCCAAAGTTTTTGCTACTGTTGTTTGCCGTGAGTGACACTCATTCTAGGCTGCACAAACCATGTCTGGGAGTCACAGTCACCACTCAGGGATTCTTACCTCACATCTCGAGCCCATGTTTTCCTTATTCTTTGAAAGCTGTCATGTGAGAACTGCCTGGTCTACACCAGAAGCCACTCTGTGAGAAAAAAAGTCTCCTTCCTGTTAGTGTCCCTTCCCTCTTTGCTATAACTTTGTTTTTCAGAAACTGGATTTAGCCCAGGGACACAATGTTCCTTTTTTGTGCTTAGAGGATAATTAGAAGCAGCCAGGATTTAAGCTCTCACCTAGAAAAGATCAAAGTGATAATAGGAAAGGAGTCTTAGGAATGACAGTCAAGTTTTTAAGTTACAGGAAGCCAGCTTTCACAGACGAGAGAGAAATCCTTCAGGAAGCAGTGAATTCTTGACAAAGTGGAGAAGCAGCATTCAGACTGTAACTCCTGGGGTCACAAACAGAGCTCTGTACAGTTCACCTTTTTATAAAGCTCATCAGTGCTGCTATGTCTGTGAAACAGCTGTGAGGCATAAAACCAGTGGTAATGGTTTGGTAGCCTGAAGTCAGCAAAGATGAGTATCGGTGATCAGCCAGAGGGGGAATGGCATGGTTACCACTCCTGCACTTCTGGGACCAAACCTGGGCACATTTTTTATTAGAAAACTATTTAAAAAGTATGGAAACTGATTCCTGAATATGTGGAGCCAAAAGGAACAAATTATAAAAGAGATGTTTGCTTTTGCAAGTATTTTTTTTGCACATGGACTTTAAAAAAAGCAATCAAAAGATAACAAGCTGCAAATGTCCAGTGACAAAAGGACCATAAATATAATATAAAGAGTGATAAAATCTGCCCAGCTTTTAGGTGAAATTAGAAATCTGCTCCAGATTTTCCTGGAATCGAGATGTTTGAATTTATTTTAAATAGGATTTAGATCTGAATGATTTTGGGTTTGCTCTTCGTGGTGGAGGAGAAAGACGTGAAAATTTCACTTACTACTACGGCTGACAAAACTCGGTACTGTTGAATCTGTGATGCAATGAAGACCTACCAAGTGAGGAAGGTAGAAAAGGAGCTGGTAGCCTTCCTGAAACCATCCCTGTGGGAGACTCTTGGTGAGGGAGCTGTTCCATTGATTCCCAGCATGGCAGGAGCACCCTAGGGCTCACCTGCATATGTATCCCAGATCAATTGCTTACCCACTGCTTATCCTTACACAAGCCAGCCCCATCCCAACCAGAAAGAACAGCTGTCACACAGGCTGAGCAGATGAAAGGTGTGTAGAGTGGAAGCAGGAGACTGAATGACATACTCCATGCAGTGCATCTAGAAGAATATGCACCTGATTTCTGAATCCATAAAGACCTGCAGTCAGACACCAAGGGACTGCCAAAACAGAAATCTCCATGCAGGTTATATTTTAAATTCTCTCCCTGTTCAGCTCTTTCCAGAGAGAAAGCCAGCTATGTCTTTATTTAGCATATTAATCTGTCAAGTAAAACAGCTACAGTCAGCATTCTCTTCACAATGCAACACCAAGCCCTTTTCTCACACCTATACCCACTAACTGTGGAAGCATTGGTTATTTTGGACAGGAGGCACTCTCCTCTTCCGTTACAGCTCTTCCAACTGAGTGAATAATGTTCAAGATTCTCTAAATCAAATACATGTTTCAGACTAATGAGGGGTTGGGGATTCTTTCTATGGGGCCAAGGGAGGGAAGGGAGAAGATCTGCTCTGGGCTGCTTCCATGTTCTCATTGTGCATGTGTTCAACCCAGAAACCAACCTTAGAGAACACTGTGGGGATCCTTCTAGCCCTGTCCTCTAGTTCCTGTCTTTCACCACCTTACTCAGCTTCGGAAAGTTCTTGCATAATGGCACAGCTTCACAAGGAAGCTGGAGACGCCAAAATTAGCCTGTTGCCAATTAAGAGGAAGACACTTGTCTCATTCACCCTCGGGCAGAGATCTGATGGGCTGAACTCTCCTGTGACCCGGGTGAATGCTCCCAGCTGTAACTCACGGAATTAAAGAAATACAGCAATAGCTCACTGCTCATTTTACAACGCTGCTGTGCTTTATGCTAGGTCGGAGCTAGAAGCCTGCCTGACAACACCAATGCCATGTGCTAGCCAGGTTGGATAACTGAGGCACTGCTGGGTGTCTGCAAAAACAAAACATTTCGTGCTCAAATTCTCAAGTACTAAAGTCCAGGGTGGAACTGCTGAAATCCCATAAACTGGACTCTTCAAAGGTGCAGATGCACCTGTCTTATTAAGCAACACCTTCAATTCAACACCTTCCTGCCTCTTAGGGACTTTGTATCCCACAGATATGTTTTTTAATCCCATTAAAAAAAAAAAAAAAAAAAAAAAAAAGAAGAAGAAGAAGAAGAAGAGTGTAGTAATCTTCATCCGCCTCGAGGCGGGAAAGCGAATGAGCGCTACATTTCATAATGCTCTGAAAAATACGAAGTGAAACCCTGTTGCCAAAACATTCTCCTAGGTGTGGAAAACCTTATTTCTTGGCGGCTTAAAGGGACAGTGGAAAGAGGGGCGGTGGAGGGTGGGAAGAAAGGGTGAAACTGACCCTCGGAGCTCCGCGGGCTGTGGCGGACCCGTGCAGGCTCCCGCTCCCTCCGCAGCCCGGTGCTGCCGGCGCTGCGGGGCGGAGCGGCCGCGCACGGAAACCCGGCCGGGAAGAGCCGCCTTGTTCCCTGCCTTGTTCCCCGCCGTGTTCCCCGTTCCCCGAGCTGTTCCCGCATACACACCGGGCGGCTGGAGCGGGAGAGCCTCCTCCACATGCCGGGAATGCCGGGGAGCAGGCCCGGCGGGGAAGCGCCGCCCCGGAGCGCGGGAAGGAGAGTGGCCGAGCTGCTCCCTCACGCAGGGCAGGGTAACCAAAGGGCAGAGCCCGGGAGCCGCAGGGATAAGGACTAGAGGGAAGTGGTGGGTATGTGGATAAAAGAAGGAAGTGAAGTGTTGGAGCAGCTCCAGAGAGGGTCACAAAGATTCTTAGAGGTCTGGAGCATCTCTCTTGTGCAGACAGCTGGGGTTGTTCAGCCTGGAGAAGAGAAGGCTGCAGGGAGACCTCAGAGCACCTTCCAGTACTTAAAGGGTGCCCACAAGAGGGCGGGAGAAGGATTTTTTACAAAGGATGTAGCGATAGGACGAGGGTTATAATGGCTTTAAACTGACAGAATTTAGATTAGGTTTGGATTAGATGTTGGGAAGAAATTCTTCACTGTGAGGGTGGTGAGGCAGTGGAACAGGTTTCCCAGAGAAGTTGTGGAAGCCCCTTCAAGGCCAGGATCGATGGGGCTTTAAACAACCTGGTCTTGTGGAAGGTGTCACTGCCCGTGGCAGGGGGGTTGAAACTGGATGATCTTTACAGTCCCTTGCAGCCCAAACCATTCCGTGATTCCATCGGAGAGGGTCAGGCCAGGGAAAACCAGACTGAGGGGTGCAGCCAGAGACAGCTTTTATGGGCTTTGCTGCATTTTAATCCATAGGAGATGATCAGACTGACTCATCTCAGTCAAAGAAACATCAACATTTCTGTTTGCTAGCTGCTTGGTGCTTGAGCTGTTTCTTTTGCTCTTTTTTTCAGGTGGAAAGAGTCAGCACATCTCTCTTACCTACAGTACAGCTGGCTCTCTGATCTGCACTTAATCTGACCCAAGATAGCTGTAAGCAGGTGATCCTCCACTCATGTTATTATCCTGTTTCTAATGGCCATTACATTTCATTTCCTACATTACCTTATACTAAGTGGAATACTTAGGCTTCCTAAAGTAGTTAGGACTGAATGATAGATCTGTAACTGAAGTGATTTATTTGCCTGTTACTGTAATTCTTAGAGAGCAATCCAGGCATGAAAAGGGGAGGTAAAAGAGAGGACAGGGTAACTTTTATTTAAAAAAAATATAGTAATTTAGGTCTTCATGTTACATTTAGATAAAATTTCTGGAAATTGATGCTATTTGAAAAAGAGAGCATCTCTGAGCTAACTCTTGAGCTCACTTTTGCATGGCCATATCCACAGGAGAGAGCTGGGGATTCAGAAACATTGTATGGGAGACATGGATAAAGCGCTGGATCTACACCTTGTTAATCAAAGCATCACCTAATCTGGACAGCTGGAAGTGCAGCACTGAGGGCTATATTTTAAGATTATTAAATAAAACGAGTCTCGAGTCTCTTGGGGTTGCATAAGTCTCAACCTGTTTTGGAATTAAGTGTCTAAGGCAGCTTTTGCTCACAAGCCACACCAAGTTGTGGATCCTTCTCCTATCCAGATTGCTTCTTCTGGAGCCCTCCTCTTTGTGAACTCTGCTTCTGTCCCTGATGTCCCCTGGTCTCCCACCAGAGAATGAGAATATCTAGACAGGAAATTCTTATTCTTTCCTGCTTAAGCTGTTCTGCTTTCTGTGGAATCAGCTGGGCCAGAGATGACACCCAAGTACTTATTTTCATACTAATCTGTGTTATGTACCTTTAATTACTTATATTTATATCACTCCTCTATTAAGTACTTATAAGTGATTGCATACCATAAAGCCTAGGCCTCCAGGGATATTGCAACCACAAAAGGTGTGCAAAGGGGAGCACTTCATGTAATCTCATTACACTGGATTACAATAATTTGGTTAGTTTTGCTTTTATTTCTTTAAACTGAATTTCACTTCATTATAAGTTCACCCCAGTCTGTTTGTTTCACTTTGTTCTCTGACTTGGAGATTGTATTTATTGCCTTTCATATAAGGAAATCCTTCATTTCATGAAAGGAAATGAAATCTTGCTATTTCAATGAGAATCCATTTGGCAACATTTGGTCCATTTTCCTGCACTTGAAATCTTGAAATGAGAGAAGAAAGTGTACCAAACACTTGTGAAAGGAGATAGGATGAAATAAAATGCAATTGAAAAAAACTAAAAGAAAATTCGAAAACAGAGTGACTAAAACCAAATGGATTGCAGTGAAATGAGGTGCAGTGAAAAGAACGAAAAATTGGCAGAATTATACTTACTGAAATACTGAAATGAAATCAAACAAAAAGACAAGAGATTAAATAAATGAAATGAAATGCTTATAGCAAAGGAAAATATTGCAACAAAGTGAAAACAATAAAAGTCAATAGGATTATATGAGCAACAGACAGTGGCCCAAAGTGTGCTGCTGTCTTCTAAAATAATGAACATGGTAGGACTTCTACCAGCTCAAAGCTGCCAATACCTAAATTCTGGCTGCCACTGAAGAACCAAACACCACGTCTGAGCTGACCCTGAGACACTGGAGAACGAGGTTTTTTCCCATGGAAAATGGCCACTGTTTGCATCCAGTCACACTGGCAGTGCCTCCAAAATTCACAAATGACACAGCATTTCTCCCAGAAGAAAGCTGCCACCAGCTAGGAATCTGGCTGCCCTAAGAGCCCAAAATGCCACCTTTGGGCTGACTTCAAGACACTGGGGGCTGAGTATTATTTTCCTTTGAAAAGGGAGCAGTTCCCATCCAGACATTGGAAATCCAGGGAGATGGACTGAACCTTGCCAAATTAATCCTCAATTAATTCTCAAATATTCATTTCCTCTCATTAAATGACTAATTTCTTTCAATTAAATGTAATAAAATCTTGAATTCAGAAAAGAAACTGTAACAAACTCTGTTCAAAGGAGATATGATATTACAAAATGCAGTTGAAAGAAGGAAAAATAAAATTTGTAAATGGAACAACTACAACCTAATATATTGGGATGAAATAATGACCTGCAGTGAAAATGACCCAAACTGTTCAAAATTATACTTTATGTAATCCTGAAATCACGGAATGAAGTCAAATGAAGAGGCAGGAGAAGAAATTGAGGAAATTAAATTAAAAAAAAAAAAAGAGAGAAAATTGTACATCAACAATAGAATGGAATAGGATGATTGATAGCAAGTGTAGGTAAGTGGACCAAACCTTGCCAGATTTATCCTGATTGAACTCACAAGATTGTGTTTCCTTTCATGAAATGAAATGTTTTCTTCCATGAAATAAAGAACTTTTCATGAATGGAAATGAAATTTTGAAATCAGAGAAGAAAGTGTAACACTCTGGAATGATGCTATGATAAAATAAAACGCAATTGAAATGAAATAAAAATATATTTCAAAACAATTTCAATACAATTTTGTTAACTCCCCAAGCAAGGACTCATTTGCCCTCCCTTTCATCTACTAGGTCTCCTCCTTCTGCCTGATGGTAAGAGGCATGGGATCCTCTGACTCCTGGGGGGCTTCTTGCAAGAATGAAAGGATGAAAATCCACCAGTCTCTTTCCCTTTAACTTTCCCTAATACTCCTAAGTCTTTCTACTTTCTCCCTAGGCTTGGCCACCAGACAAAAAGGATAGGACCTTGCAATAATTGTACTCACTGAAATCAGGAAATGAAGTAGATTGAAGAGACAGGAGCAGTAATTGATGAAATTGTATTACTGCACTTCTCTGGTTGTCTGGGGTATATTATACTTACATTAAATCAGGTGCCAGATCTGGCACTGAAACAGTCCTAAGGCCACAGAAAATGGGACCTCAAAGAAAGGTAATTCTGCTAAATTTGGAATAATAAACAAAACATAGGGAATTGAAGAAAGCCAAATATAGGAAAAGTCCCATACAATTCTTTGAGGACACATGGGATATTAGAGAAGTATCTGGAAGCAAATTGTTTTGTGCAAATTGATGGTGTGAGGAAATAGTTGTGATACTTATGCTCAAAAATATGAATTATTTTCTTTTTGGTCTTGCTTCTCCCTTTTATAATTGAATAGAGGACACTGGATACTTTAAGTTCTGAATATTTTCACGATTACCCTTAGATGTAAAAATAGGAAAAGACAGTAAGCCTGTAGTAAATCTCTTTTTTACTGAGTCTACCACCATGGCACCTCTTTTTATGTGGTGACAGTATGAAGCAGCATCATGATTTAACCATGCTTGCCCCCAGTTCACAGGCCACAAACATCTGTCTGATGTAGTACTTCACTTATAAACCTTGTTGTTGCAGGTGGGAAGCACCTCAGGTTTTGTAGATCCTGTCAGCTTGGGCCTCCAACTGTTTGCACATATATCTAAAAGGCTAAGATATTTTATACTGACATTACTAAAATAAGATCTGAAATGCTGTGATAGTTCAGGTGCCAGCTAAGCCAGTTTCAGTTTGTGAAAACTTCAGAAGTGGCTGAAGCAACAGGTAAGCAGGACTGTTATCCTTTTATGGCCATAGTTTTTGAGAATCTTTTTGTTTAATACATAATGTACATTTCAGCATAGAAGCAATGTATTCACTGCTGCATGTTGTACAGTCATCTGCTGCTAACAAATGGTCATGAATTTACACAAGTGTTTCTTTGCAAAAGTTCTTACTAAGTTATGGTTGAAAATCCAACTTGGAACTTTTCTGGGGTGGGTGCATTGGCTGATTTGTCACTGAACAAAGCTTGCACACCATTATTATAACTGAAGACTTGCTTCTGGATTAAAGCCTTAGATCCACTTATTAAAAACCTCCAGGCCTCATGTGCATAAATCTCAGAACTCTATAATAAAGATGCCAAAATATTCAACTACTGTGGTTGTTCTCTCTCTCAGAGAGGAAAGAAACAGCCAAGTTGTTTGTTAATGCAGCTGTATTTTCTGTAGCATTGTGCTGACACCTTTCAGTGCCTTCTAGAACACAGGAAGAAATGCAATTCCAAATGATGCTGATGAGCATGTCCTGCATGTAATATTTTGATCACAAAAGGCACACCTACACAGCCCTCTCATGCTGTTCTGTCACTTGAAAGAAATTATGGAAACAAAAACAAAAGCTGTCTTCCTGCAAAGGTGTTTCTGTTAGGCACAGACACGTTTCTTGCTCCTCCCTTGTCTTATGCAAGTCACATACACACAGCGAGCTAGACACCTAGCAGGCACCAAAGGGGATTAGGATGTGGGGGGTAAAGATTTCCTCTCCAATATGCATGGGAAAAAAACAAAAATCAGGAACAATTGCTTACAGGATTTTACTGTCTCCTAGATTTATGCAGCTTCTTGAAATTAAGCACTGAGAGACGTAATTTTAAGCACATTACTAATTTCAAGAAATTACCATATATGAAAGTTAATTTATAAAAGATCAGTAAATGCTGTAACAGGTTTTATAGTTATTTGTCTCACATTTTGATAAAGATTGCAACAGGTTCATAGGCCGTTTATTGCCAGGGTTTATCACCAGCTATGATGTCTTCTGCTGATGTGCTCATAACATTTCCAGTGTATCCCACCCCATTTTAAACATGTTAATAAAATACATGAATAGCATGCAATCTTTATAAGCCCCCTTAAAATGCAGCCAGGATATAGTCTTTATTGAAATAAGACCCAAAGAGGTGCTCTCTCTTGAATTTAGTGGAGTGGATTTAATACAGAAAAAAAATGTGCTTCCAGCCAAAACCAGCCCCTTGTGTGTGTGCTGGCTGTGCAAATGACATTTGCCAGTTGTAATGTACTCAGCCTATGAAATTCTAATAGCCACAGAAGGTTATCTATGGCAAGTGACTAATACCTTCTAAATTAAGGCCTGTAATTGCACTCCACTGATTAATGCATTAAATTGCCTATTTCTTACATGTAGGACACTTACAAATGTGTATCTTATTGTACCTCTGAGCTCACATATAATGTACAATAGGCAGGTGAAATGCATGAGCATTTCCCCCAGGCTCCCTCTACACCAGACTTCCACCCACACAAGATCAACACTGTAATAAGGTCATTATTTCTGGAGATGCACATTCTCAGATCTTGCATAGGTAATGACATTAAGTTCCTTTACCTTTTGAGTCCCAGTTAAAATTAGCATAATAAATGCTAAGAATGATTTGATTTTTTTTCCCATATGGATTTCACAGCTAACATTAGAAAAATCTATGATCTCTTTAATAAACCCCTAACTTTAAAAAAAAAAAAAAAGGACAGGGGGAAAAAGCGGTATTTTGGGAATAATTAAAATCTTCTAGAAAGATTTTTATCAAAGCAGTGAATTCAACAGTTTGTCCACATAATGGAGAGAATAAGAAAAGATAAAATTCTACATGTACAAACTTAATGATTCTCTCTTTATGTATATAGAAGAATCCAAAATGAACTCCTGCAAATTAGTTTTTCTTGGGCT